CTCGGAGGTTACGGGTTCTACTCCCAGCAGGTCTAACATTATATTTCGGTATATCAGCAGGCACCAGCCGCTCATAGCAGTTGAGAGGGGCACGGCAACAGGTTGGGAACCTGCAAATCGTAATTTTCTTCTTACTAACTGATCCTCTACGTTTACCCCTACAAATTTACCATGTGGATTGGGACATGCGGTCTTCCCAATCCACAATAGACCTTTTCGACAGTGGTTGAGGTTAGAAACAATTTGGAGGCTGCAACTTTTTTTCTTTCTAACTGTTTAGAATTTTTGACTTCGTAGCGCAACAACGGTCGACTTGTTCCGTTGCGCTACGGAGTCAAAATTTGCTATTCGGTTTCAGTGAAAATGTTGCAGGCAATGAAAGTTTTCAGCCCCCCTAACCTTACCGTCGAAAAGGTCTATTGGAATTACCACTTGGATACGCAAACGTCTACAATTTAAAGAAATGGAAGATTGCCATGTGGATGTGGATACGCAAAACATTTTCCCCTATCCATGTTTATGGAAATGTACCATGCTATGGATATCGAAATTAGCCAGTAATTAGACCTGAAAATTTACTCATTGCGGTCGGTGAAAGTGGCGTTTACTCATCTACCTGCGAAATATTGCCTTAAAAATTTCTTACAGTGATGTTTACGTTTCTCCAAGGGTTGACTCGTCAAAAAAGAACCCTTTTAGGTAAACTTTCGTCCATTTGGTTCGTTTGGCCCTATCTTAAACCGCTTCGAAGCTAGAGGGCCTTTTTGACGTAACAGGGTTCACACCGGATTCCAATTTCTATTTTCCTTGACTTACACACCAAGCTATGCCGATTTTCCCTGACTTTTCTGAGTACAGTAGAAGGTCAGTGTAGTGGAAATACAATTAAAACAGGATGCAAAAAGAAATTCGTTATTACTGAAAAATATTAAGAATATTAAGAAAACCAGAATATTTGTAAAATAATCGACGAAGATGGCGTGAAATGTTTTTGACTCTTAATTTTGCATTTAATGCTACCTTTCATGAAACTACCTGGGCCATGGCCAGTATTTGCCCACACTGAAGAGTTTTCCCTGACCCAAATTAAATTTCCCTGACTTTTCCCTGACTTCCAGACACCTTTTTTTTCTCCCTGACAGCAACCGGTCAGTCAGTTTAGGAGCTGTCGGTTATGAGACAGATGTGAGTTATTCCACTAAATGAAATATCTCTCGCCCTTGCACCGACTTCTCACAGAGAAATCGGTCGGTGGCTGAATAGGGCTTGCTGAAAGACAATCGGAACATAGAGAATAGTGTAAGCGGTTCGACCTGGAATACCACCAAAAAAAGGCAAAATAAGATATAAAAAGCGTGATTTTTTGTGGAGACCTTCCCTAGACCTCAAACTTTGATTTGACCCGGAGCACATTCATTTCCGACCCATAGGAGCCGAGATTTTAACGTTTTTGTTCAAAATTTGAACAAAAATACCGAAAATGACAAAATGTTGCAGAGAGACCAACTAAAATACTTTCCCGACTAATGTTGACCTGAGAAATCGAACGGAGCAATTTCCAGACCCGTCCGACCCTCCATCTAGGCCCAAGACGGCGCCATTTTGAAAATATGGGTCTAAATGGTGACACACAAAGGTTTAGCGTAACAAACCGTGTGGGGTGTCGTTTCCGCGTAATGTTACATCGCTGAGACCAAATATGAGGTCTAATGAACCAAAGGTCAACTTTTAGTTCATTTGAACCACTGTACAACACGCTAAGTACATGTTCATAATGATCCAAAATTCGAATTTTTACTACATGCGTAAAATTTGACTTTCTTCTGCACTTTGTTAGAGTGAGAAAATCGATGAAGCCTCCTGTTTGGCTGTAACATTTACACTATCCGTTGAAATCGTCATATTACTGTTAAGAGTAATATTTGTCTAAATGTTTTTGGAGATGTTGAAGGTAAACTTATAACACAAAGAGCAAAATATTTTTTTTAACAAATTCTACAAGAACACAATACAATTATAAAATTGTTGGCTGAGCGATTAGCGAAGCCCATTACTCCACTGACCCGAAAAGTTTCATTCTGTTTGTTTGTTTGTTTGAGTGTTTGTTTGTGTGTCTGTCTGTCCGCACGATAACTAGAGAATAAATTGAGATAGCGATCTGGGAATTTTAGGGTCGTTTTGTATCAGAAAAAGACAGATCGAGTCCGAGGATGGGCATTCTAGCTCAAAAATTGACTATTCAATCGTACAAAAGGCTTCATGTCACAGAATAGGGTACTCTAATGGAGCGCGAAGCTGAAGCAAGAAGCTTGACTACGTATACTTAATTCCTTACATCAATTGACCTCAGTTTTACATCTGTTTCTTAGTGTTAAAACGATTTAGTTGATAAAAACTTAGGTATTGTGTAGAAGCAGGGGGCCGAGTAGGAAAAACATTTAGGAAAAGTTCCCACTCAAAATGTAGTAAAAGCGGTATAGGACTATAGTGCATTAGGAAGTGCGGAGATAGGAAAAATGTTATTAGGAAAACTGGATTAGGAATTTTGTACGGGAATCAACAAACAGAATGAAACTTTTCGGGTCAGTGGAGTAATGGGCTTCGCTAATCGCTTAGCCAACAATGTAACTAGCTATATGTTCGCCAGACCACGTCTCGCGTAACAGGCTTCGCGATATTTCACGAAACACTGTTACGCTGCGACACGCCTGGCGCACACATAGCTAGGCCTGTGGCCTGCGGCGCTGACACCCGAGACGAGTCAAGGAGAGGGTATAGGAGAACAGGGTCTTCCTGGCCCAAAATTTGACATACTCGAACCATTTGTTGGGGTCTTCGTACTCTAAAATAAGGGACACGGAACTTCTGCTGTTCGGTAACGGTTTTCGTTAAAAATCGAATTGTGTCAGATTGTTATGTAACCTAGCTATATCTACGCTAGACCACGTCTCGCCTAACATTCTTCGCGATTTCTCACGAAACACTGTTACGCTGCGACGCGCCTGGCGCACATATAGCTAGGCCTGCGGCGCTGACACCCGAGACGAGTTAATAGGAGGGTATTCGGGAACAGGGCCTTCCGGCCCCAAAATTTGATATACTCGCAGCATTTGTTGGGGACTTATTACTCTAAAATTAGGGACATGAAACATGATACTTCTGCTGTTCCATTACGGTTTTCATTAAAGGTTCGAATTTTGACAGATTCTTGTGTAAAAACATCGTTTTAGTGATACTAGATAATCTAGGGACCCTTGAGCCTAAAGGAGGGTGTGGTTCGAAGTCAGCTGTGTGGTTTTAGTATTACTTCCTGCACAATTTTTCAATATAAGGCATCTCTCACGACTTAATAGACCATTTAGTCGTTTTCACCTTATTTTTGCCAAGAAATGCCTCCTAGCACCCAAACGGTACGAGATAGAGCAAAACGGACGAAATTTTCGGCCCAAGGAATGTACTTTGACGAGTTACCCCTAAGAAATCCATAACAAAATATTCGGTAAGAAATACATTTTGCCTCCAGTGGGTTTTTGATTTTTTTAAAAGTCAATTTTTGAGCTAGAATGCTCATCTTCGAACTCGATGTGTCTTTTTATGATACAAAACGATCCTAAAATTCCCAGATTGCTCTTTCAATTCTTTCTCGAGTTATCGTGCGGACAGACAGACAAACAGACAAACAAACAAACAAACAGAATGAAACTTTTCCGGTCAGTGGAGTTATGGGCTTCGCTACTCGCTCAGCCAATAATTGTATTGTGTTCTTGTAGAGTTTGTTAAAAAAAATATTTTGCTCTTTGTGTTAAAAGTTTACCTTCAATAACTCCAAAAACATTTAGACAAATATTACTCTTAACAGTAACATGACGATTTAGTGTCAATGTTACAGCCAAACCGGAGGCTTCATCGAGTTTCTCACTCTAACAAAGTGCAGGAGAAAGTCAAATTTTACGTATGTAGTAAAAATTCGAATTTTGGATCATAATGAACATGTACTTAGCGTGTTGTACAGTGGTTCAAATGAACTAAAAGTCGACTTTTGGTTCATTAGACCTCATATTTGGTCTCAGCGATGTAACGTTACGCGGAAACGACACCCCACACGGGTTATTGCGTTAAAACTCTGTGTATCACCATTTAGGCAGATATTTTCAAAATGGCGTCGTCTGGGGCCTGGTCGGACGGGTCTGGAAATTGTTCCGTTCGATTTCTCAGGTCAACGTTAGTCGGGAAAGTATTTTAGATGGTCTCGCTGCGACATTTTGTCATTTTCGGTATTTTTGTTCAAATTTTGAACATAAGTGTTAAAATCTCGGCTCCTATTGGTCGGAAATGAATGTGCTCCGGGTCAAATCAAAGTTTGGTGTCTAGGGAAGGTCTCCACAAAAAATCGCGTTTTTTATATCTTTTTCCCTTTTTTTTAGCTACCGCCTAAGACTAGAAGAAAACATGACAGCCTGATCTCGTTCCTACTAAATGGTGATTGGTCGACGATGTCTTCGGTGTGGCGGTCAGCCAATGAGCGCACAATAGGAAACTGATCGGGCAGTCATGCTTTTCTTCTTTAAGGGGAGGGTATACTGTAATCCTTAAAATCTAAACAAGAGACAATTTCAAAAAAGTGGTTTATAATAGTAGTAGTACCCACTTTAAAAACTCATTTAAGCTATAGCATGTCCAAATCCATCAAAAAACCTTTGCACATAGAACTTTTTTAACTTAAAAGTTTACGTAACTTTGTAAACTTCTGTGCGCACAGTTTTTTGGTAGACTTTTGGCATTCTATACCTTAAATTAATCCTCAAAGTGCATACTACAACATTTATAGAGTACTTTTTTGATTTTATCTCTTGTTTAGATTTTAACTTGATTAATTCATTAAATTAGGTGATTTATCAATTTTTTCAGTATACTCTCCCCGTAAGGTCCAGTTGTCCCGCGATAGACAATATTCGGTCCCAGTCTTTCACACCGCAAGCTGCATCATATGACAGACTCACGTGGCGTGTCGGCTCCGCCTCCGCGCACTGGAAGTTGCGTACTTCTCCTTGCGACGACCCATGTCGCTCCGCAGGAAGAGATCAGGCAGCACAGAACTAAGCGGAGACCGGCGAACTCTTTTCCCTCGCGAGTGACTGCAGTCAATGCAGTCGAGCCCGGAGGAGAAGGGGGGCGGCTGAACACGAAAGCAGAGGACTGGAAACGCACAAGGCTGCCGGGCGGATGGGGCGAGATACCTATACTGTTCTCCGGGGCTCGGCTAGACCGAAACGAGAAGAACGAAAATCGCAGGCAGAGTGAGGAGAGGGACACAGCCCCCCGCCCAGCCCCGCGCCCGACGTATTTTGTTCTTCTCTTGCTAGTCTAATCGAGTCCCGGAGTACCCTATGACGTCACAGCGTCAACCCTTACCACTACCACCCAGCCCTCTCAGCTGCGACACGGTAACTTGAGAACGAGTCAGCGATCCACAATAAAGCATTCCGGGAAAGCTGAAATGCAGAAGAATACGGGGAAGACGAAAACGGAAGTCACCATTTTAAAGCATAGCGATTTCCGTTTTCTTCTTCCCCCCATTCTTCTGCATTTCAGCTTTACCGGAATGCTTTGTTTTTAGGTTTGTTTCGTGTCATAAAAAGGCAGATCGAGTTAAAAGATAGGCATTGTCGTCTCAAAATGAACCGTTTAAAAAATTAAAATCAACAGGTTCCTTTTCAAGTGTTACGTCTCTCGAAGGAGTAACTCGTCAAAGAAGGGCGCAAGCGCTAAAAGAGACTGTTCCCGCTGTGCCCGCTTCAAGAGGAATAGACCCTCTTCAGTCTCGGCTCCGAGAGAAGAAAACAGGAATCCCGACCAGAACCAGTACCTTTATCCTGCCATTTCTTCGCGAGAAAACATGCAAACCCGAAATAAAAAATTATCACAAACATTGTGGATTGTACTTTTCCCTTCCAACGCTATTTAAACGTTAAAATAGCGTTATTTTTCGTAACTGGTTCCGGTTGGGATTCCTGTCTTCTTCTCTTTTAGCCGAGACCGAATAGGGTCTATTAAGGAAATCGTCACCGGAAACACTTCTGAAATTACGGTTAAAACTAGTGCAAATGAACCTTTATAGTAACATGGACTTTCTCGAGGTCATCTTAGTGAAACTGTACAGTTAAACTAGGTAGATTAACGCCAGACCACGTATCGCGTAACAGGCTTCGCGATATCTCATGAAACACTGTTGCGATGCGATGCGCCTGGCATACATCTACTTAGGCCTGCGGCGCTGACACCCGAGTCGGGTAGCGCAAAAATGATCACAAAGATACGGGATTTCGGCCCGTCAACTTCCCGTCGCTTCGACTAAACATGCAGGGTTGAACATTGTTTCGCTTATTTTCGTCAAAAACTCCCTGTGGCGCCTAAATGGTTAAAGACAGCGCCAAACGGACGAAATTTTCGCTGTATGGGCTCTTCTTTGATGAGTTACCTGTAACTGTAAGTAAAAATATTTTTAAAAATCATTATTTGTAGGACCTGTGGTTTTTGAACTTTTCAAAATCCAATTTTTGAGCTAGATCGCTCTTCTTCGAACTCGATCTGTCTTTTCATGATACAAAACGACCCTGAAAATACCAGGTCGCTAGCTCAATAGACCCTATTCGGTCTCTGATCCAAGAGAAGAAAACAGGAATCCCGACCGGAACCAGTACCTTTATAGGGTATTTCGGGTAAGCGAAGCAGCGGAAACGGAACGGCCGAGCGGCTGCTGGATCCGTCTCAGCCTGCGAACTGCGCATGCGCAGTAGACTCTGCCAAGCATCCCCCTCTCCCCCGCGCTTTAGCAACCAGCTGTGAACTGGCCGGTTCCGCTTCCGCCGCTCCGCTTACCCGAAATACCCTATTCTGCCATATCTTCGCGAGAAAACTTGCAAAGCTGCCATATAACATTATCAGAAACATTGTGGAAAGTGCTTCTACCCACCAAAACCATGGAAACGTTAAAATAGCGTGATTTTTAGCCCGCCCTTCTGCTTTGAAAAAGCTATCCAGCGGGCTTATGCAAACGACCTCGTGTCTGTGTGTCTGTCTGTCTGTCTGTGTGTCTGTCTGT